AGGAATTCGAGCGGGGTTCTCTATGTGTATACTCTTTAGTATGACACACTTGACATAGGCCCACAGCAACTCTCGAAGAGCTACTGATTCCGATCAGTAGCGGTGCAGCTTCTTTCTCTTTCTATGGATGCTCATGTGGGCTGCAGCTCGCTGCTTGCAGGCAGCCTTTCATTGTGTACTGGAGAACACCACCACTCACCACGCGGTGATTGAATACACGGTTTGGTGAGACCGGTTGGAATTCAACTTTGAAATCTGTGTTAGGGAATTCGTTTTTCGTAGGCAATCGGTCATAATTTTAATTATCATAGCAACAGTTGCACATCCGTTAAATTTTCAATAGTGACATTTTGAAAAATGATAAAGTCTTAATTTTATCATATTCGTAGAAAAAATCCTTTCAATTGGCGTATTAAGAATTAAAATTCACCATTTCTGGATCAAAATCGGACCACTTTCATGCCACGACCGACTTTGGTTTTTGAAATCGCACCCCAAATGTTGCCTAGTATGTACATAGTAAGTTCGATTTAAACATATCTAGATAGAGCTGGAATTAGGCGCAGCAGCTTTTATAAACAATTACATCTCCCGATGATTTTTTTGGAATTCAAGGCACACCCACGCAAACCAACATTACCGCCAGGTAGGGAAAGTCTCACCCTACCTGATGGAGATGTTGACTTTCGTGGGCGAGCCTTGACTTTCAAGATATCATCGAAAGAATCCATTGTTTACAAAAGCTCTTACGCCATAATTCCAGCTCTATCTTGATATGGAAACTGACATCCGATTGATGACATTGACAAATGTCCAAAAAGTACTCTTTCACAAATTTATGGTGGTCCTGAAAAGGACCGTTTTGTCGTGATGGTTGAGTAATGCTGAGCTATTAGGGTGTTTAACACAGATAAGGCTGGTGAGCTGTATATTGATTGGAATGAGGGTGACGCGCTCGGCATTCAAAACCTACAGTGCTGCAGCTGATGCCGACGACCGGATACCACCACACACGATAATTGGAACTAAATCCGATCAGCGGTTGAGGTCAGCCTTGATCGCTAGCTGCTTGCGGGGAGCCTTTCGTTATGTACCGGAGTACACCATCACTCACCACGCGGTGATTGAATAAACTCCGTTTGGTGAGACCAGATGTAATTCAACTTTGAAATCTGTGTTAGGGAAATCGCTTTTCACATGCAATCGGTGATAATTTTAATTATCAAAGCAACAGTTGCCCATTCGTGCAATTTTCAGTAGTAAAATTTTGAAAAATAATAAAGTCTTAAATTAAGCAGATGCGTAGAAACTTATCTGATCGATTGGTGATAAAATTATTGAAATCGGTTCAGGGGCAGCCTAGTTATTAATGTTCAAAATCTTTCATAATTTTGTTACATGGTCCATTTTCAGTTTTCACAAAGTGTTCCCCCATATAGAAATCACAGACGTAGTCCTACGTCAAAAAGGTTATGGTGCCTAGTAGTCCGTTCATGTTTAGGCAGACATGCCAAATTTCAGTGCGATACTGTCTTTAGTTTTGTTTTGACAGCTGATTGTTGTTGACGTGTTTGGCATCATGTTGAGTATGGATAAAAACGATTTTCGTTCTCTCATAAAACATTATTTTTGAGAGGCAAAACGGCGAAGGAAACAAAAGAAAAGTTGGATAAATATTATGGGCTAATGCTCCGTCACATATTGGATTCGAGAGTTTCGTGGTGGCCGCAACTACACTACCGATCAAGTCCGCAGCGGCAGGCCCTCCGATGCGGTTACAGAGGACAATGTCAGGCTGACCGGAAAGTGAAGGTGCGCGAGCTAGCAGATACCGCAAAGATTAGTACTGAGCGCACATGCCATATTTTGGGCGAGATTCTGCATATGAAAAAGTTATCCTGCCGCGCAAGCTCACTCCTGTCCAAAAACACGAACGCAGCACTTCGAAAGGGTGTTTGGACTTGGTGGTGCGGAATCGGGCGGACTTTTGGCGTCGATTGGTAACTGTTGGTGAAACCTAGATCCCCTATTACATCCCAGAGAACAGTATGAGCGCCCGGCAATGGACTGAAGCCGGCACGAGTGCTCCGAAGCGGCCGAGGGAGGCTCGATGGGTCGGAAAGGTTATGGAGTCGGTTTTCTGGGATTGTCATGGCATACTCTTCGTGAACTACCTCGAAAAAGGAAAACCATAAACAGTGAGTATTATATTACTGTGCATTATTGAGGCGATCGAAGGCCGAAATCGCTGCTAAACGGCCTCACATGAAGCGAAAAAAAAAAATGTTTTTGCAAGACAGTTCGCCAGCGCACAAGAGCATCGCAACCACGGCTAAAATCAATGACTTACGGCTCCAATTACTTCCGCATCCACCGTATTCGCCCGATTTGGCTCCCTCAGAATATTATCTCTTCCCAAACCTCAAAAGATGGCTCATCAATGAAAAAATCAGCTCACGTGAGGAAGTCATCGACGCCGCGGAGGAGTATTTTGCAGACCTTCCGGAAAATTACTTTTCGGACGGGACCATGGAGTTGGAAAATCGCTGGAATATGTGTATCGAGCTAAAAGGGGACTATCTAATTTTATTCCCAAGGAGGTTATTTTTCACCCCGCAAAAGAATGGAACGAATCTTTTCGTATATTTTTTAGATGTTTTACTTTATGAATAACAGTTTAACACTCTATTTCTGATGTAACATAAAGGAATAATCATTTGAAATGCCTCATGCCCGAGGGGGACGACTCTATCTACGATGCAAAAAAGATTGTGTTTTGTTGTGGCTAGTTTCGCGCACGCTGAGTAGATAGAAAGAAGATTGATGACGATTCTGAAGATTTCCTGCAAAAAGATGATGAGCGATGCAAGTAGATGCGACAAATGAAAGAGGATTTTTTGAAGATTGATTCGCTAGTTTGTTGAGTATCTAAACTTGAGATTTCGCCCGCCTCGCTCATGCCTTTGTATTCTCTACTTGCAGGTTATAGTTTTCTCTATCATGTGGTGCATTGTATCCCAATTTTGTTGGGTGTTCTGGCCATTGTTGTCGTGCGTCTTGCCCCAATGTTGTAGTGCATATTGCACCATCAGGCGTTTTCCCCGCTATCAGTTTAGAATCAATTTAAAAAATGCCTTGAAAATCGTGAAAAATCATCTTTTTGTAGTTCGAAATCACTCGATCTTCATAGGAAACATTGTAATGAACCGTACTCAATTACTTTTTCCTTGATTTTAGCTTCCATACGCCAGCAACTGACGAATTTGTTTAAACGGTTCGTTTTGCACCATCCTACCCTACGCTCAACAGATGGCGGTAGTGTGTAGATGTCAAACGCAAGGGAATTGACTATGCGCGCCACAGGACAAACTAAGAAAAATTTTAAGTGACCGGTGAATACGTGATCAATGAACAACATACGAGAGTTATGTCTATTTTTCTGTGCTAGAAACATTACCTAAATTGGAAATGTAACACTTTGTAACAATTTTGTATAAATGAAATGTGAGATCTGTAATCAATTACCATACATACAAGTTATATAGTGCAATCTTTGGGAGATTTAACAGATAGTTAGATAGTTAGAATTAACATTACACACTTAGAAACAAACATTTTTACACGAAACACAAATATCAACTGGTTGATGTAAATGAAACGGTAGCATAATATTTATTTAAAGTTAGGAGTCCTGAGACTCACAAAGCCACGTTTGATTCAATTTGATTCATCTTCTGTGGCTGAACTTGTATATTTTGTACATCAAATATTGTTTACATATTAAGCTTGCCTGTAGATTTCCAGTGTCACGCATACATATGCTTGCTTCTCTGTCCATTACAATCGACAGACTTGTCCAAAACTGTTTGAATACATTTTTACAACGCTCCAAACGGCAGCCTCTTTTTCTTCGGTAGCCTTTCCATTTGAACTGCATGTTAACCAGCTGTTCTATTATCGACAACTCGAAATCAGCCGTATTTTGTAGTATGTTGAATTTGATGAAAAACCAGGCACAACAGATTTGCTCAGTCGTAAAAATGTAATCAGATTGTAGCTGAAAGATTAAGGAATCCTTTGAAAACATTCAACGAAGTGTTTAGATGGGAAAATACAGTGAAATTTCGGTTTAAATTTTGGTTGCCGAAAACAGTCAATTGGTGCCGAAGCCGATATTTACCCTATGTTATTGTAATAACTTATATAAATTCAATATAACTCTTTATATAAAAACACTTACAGATTTTATAGCAAAACGTGCTTCTCATAATTCTTCAAAAGTCTCTCAGAGAAGACTTTCACGAAAAAAATTAATTAACAAAGTTACACGCAAAAATGAACAACTTTGTCAAAAACACTATTTCTGCTAAATCCCCATTCTGGACCACTGTGCATTGCTGAGTTTTTTTTTTCACACCGCGCATACAGCTCTCGGTATAATTAAGATAAACCGAAATGGCTCGTAAATTAATGCCATTTTTTTTATGGAGTACTCTGCACAGGTGAATTTGCTTCACAGGTTACCCGGTTCGCTATACTTTCGTTAATTAAACTTCACGTCCAACTTGTATGCAGATTAGCTGCCGTGTGTTCGTTCCCCGCATCGTAATCCCTGCAAAAAAATGGACGTTACTGGAGTCGACTCTCGAGAGGTGAAAAGGAGGGTCATTCCGATAAAGGACCTCAAGGACGAGAGTGTAAGAAATAAAGCCCTCTAGTCAAAGTTTGGACGTTTGCAAAAAGGGCTGTTCCAATCGAACTGTCAAAATGCACTGGAACAACTTTTTTCAGTTTTGCTGGTTTCAATCGTCCATACTTTTGCTGTAGGGCTTTAGTGAGAAAGGGCACGGTTGAATGTAGCTCGGAAAGGATAATTTGCTATTCCCTGAAATGAGACAGCGCGTAAAGGACGACTACGGAGATATTACTGATTGGCTTCTCTGTTGCTAACCGAAAAGTATCTAACCTTTGGAAACTTTTTTTTTTCGACACGTGCTCAGGAAGGTCGTGCAGCAGAAAATCAGCGGGAATTAGTAGGCTAGGCAGAAGCAAGCACAGAGGAAATCCACTGAGAAAGGTTTACGTTTTACTTTGTGTTTCGATAGTCGTATTAATATGGCAGAAAGCGTTTCCTATGAAAATGACGGACAGTTTAATCATCTCAGGTAAATATAGTAGCGCTATCCTATGTATCCTCCTTCGAATTTCCTATTTCTCAGTGTATACATATAAAACGTAAAGAATAATCCAAACAAATGACACTCTGTACCAAACCAACATTGCTTGTTCAAACAATGACAAATGCATAAACTCTGTCCACGCCCTGCTTCACAACGAGAACAATACTGCAACATATTTTCACGAAACTTATGGCACAGGAAATAGGGATAATGGGCTGAATCCACTACTGCACACAAATCCTTCACGTTGCTGTTGGTTTAATATGTGTATTGCTGTAATTGTATGTTATGTATGTTAACCTTTACTCAGTTCTATCGACACACGACACTGACCCCCCTTTCTCTGAGCAACCCTTAAATGTCTTCCAAATGCAAAAAGGACGATGCGTGCTTTCAACTTCCGCAGCAAGAAGAGCTTTAATGTATGTCTATCTGTATGTATCCACCCATCTATTAGTAGTCCGCTTATTTCCTATCATCGACCGACTTGTCTTCTTTTTCTAAAAACCACCTACATAGTCCTATAAGCTTCTTTTTCACGCCTGTCTTGAGCAGAACAACGGAACGCAGCAGTGATGGCATGATGGCATCCCAAACATTAGTGCCGTTCCTCGGGGCGTTAGCTTGTTAGCTGGCATTTCGGAATGTGTGTTATTAGAACTAACCTATATCTACCGTACAAGGAATAGCTCAACTCCGGACTTATACCTTATACGCCACCGTGGCATGCTATCAACCTCGCGGGGACGTGGGAAACAGCACGCGACCACTTTTTCGGCGCCAGCTCATTTACACTGCGAGAGATTTTCCTTCCCTAGTTAACACGAAAGGCAGCGAGCTAATGTAATGCAAACATTTTCGTGTAGCACGGTCTGCCACGGAAACGTTCAAGTCAACAGCACTTCTGGTCAATAATACTATAAATGTACTTACCTATAAAATACTAGTAGATTGCACGAGAGTTCCTGTTGTCACGTAGGTTCCTACTCGCGTATGCAAAGCTTGATGGAGACGCACGGTGCTTTGTTCAACGGTGAACGCTGAATGAGAACAAGAAACGCAAAACAGTGTAAATAGTGTAGCCACAGCTTGAATATAAATTGGCCCTCCGCAATGGAAATGCGCTCAGAACAGAAGAGCCAAATGAAAGTCGATTTCGGATACGGGGAATTTAAAACGTTTTCGCACTTTGATAACAACAGCAAGAGACTAGTCGAATGGCAGCGTAGAGCAATTTCCCCAAAAATCCGTAGACGAAAATCTTTTTGGGGTTAAAAATACGTTTTATTTGTCATAGTTTAATATAACAGCTATACATTGATAGGTATTATGCTTATAGGTCTTTTTAAAGTTCCACCGATGTAGAGTGCACCAGGCGAGTTGGCGGGGAAACGTCAACCAATCCGTTTGTTTTCTTCAGAATAAGGATTTTTTTACAATGCAAATTAAAGCATTTTTCAATGAACATCTTGCCAATTTCCATCAGTAAACTGTCTTATTTTACGATTTTCCACAGATCCGAACTAATTTGCACCTCAACTATTCACACATAAGAAATCCGGAAGATCATAACCACTACGGCGCTATTCTAATTTTCCATTTTTCTCAACAAAAATATTCCTGAACACTAGCAAGGTCCTTGCAAAATTGATACAGAATTTAATTTTTCAACTGTAGATTAAGTTTTGGAGCATCTCATTTGAATTAATTTTTCAGTAAAAGCAAAGGGTGAGACAGGTTTACTCTGAGTTGCTTTTTTTGCAGCGAGTAATTTTTTTTTTTTTTTTTTTTTCTTTATTATAGAGATTTTTAGCCTGAGGCTGCAGCGAGTAATTCGCGAGTAACTCATGTACCTAAATATTTTCTCTGCCTACTCCGTTTACTATTTTTAAGCATAGGTATACGTCTCATATTAGACGTCAGTTTTGTTTGTAAATAAAGTAATCCTAAGTGTATTCTGAGCCTTTCGAATAACTGGAATATTATGGAAGAACCTGTGCCGGTGCCTGCTTACTACCAATAACAACATACACTCCCAACCAGCTTTAACACTCCGAATACGATGCCTCCAAAAAGCGTGTATCGGCAAGTTTGCAATGGTATAACTTAGCAATTTCTTGATGAATTTCAAAAAATGTGGTATCTCTAGAATTCCTAGGGTTAGTAGATTATTTTGAACGTAAAAATATTAGAAACAGGGTTGTCTGCTTTTTTGAAGCGAAAAGAGTCGTTACACTTTTTTTTTAAAGGTGTGTTTATGGGTTTTGCAAGTGGCTTAAGAGCTATAATTTAGATTAATGCGCACAGTGTACAGTCATGGTTCCTACATATGGATCCAGGAGACAACGGAACGGTCCTCCGGAAGATCCGAAACATCCGTAAAATTGGTCTATCCACGAAACTGATCCTACGACTCCGCAGTTTTTTTTTTTCGCAAACACGCGGAACGTGATATAAGAAATAATTTAGGATCGTGACATAAACATGGACCAGATGGCTATGGAACCGTCATTCTGAAGATTCGGAGCATCCGTAAAAGTAGTAAATCTATGAAACTGATATTAGAGCTCCGCGGTTTTTTCAAAAACACTTGGAACTGTGATATAAGAAGAATTTGGGGTCGTGACAGAAACATGAACCCATGAACCCGGATGGCTGTGGGACCGACCTCCGAGAGATCCGGATCCGTGTTTTTTTAATCGTCTTCTGCAATGTTTATATTTTTCCCTCTACCAGCACTAGATATCCACACCACCAGGTTGCACGAATACAACTGTATTGCTAAATGTGCATGGAAACATATACGTAGTTAAAGTTAGCTGGTTCAATTCAAGATTTTTGGCTAAGCTTCAGGCAATTTGAAATCCTCAGCTGATGCTGAAGACTTTGTATGCACAAATGGCGAGGAATTTCGTATAAATAAGATCGTTGATTGGCTGATTCCCATAGCCATCCGGGCCATAATTATGTCACGACCCCAAATTCATTGTTGTTTCACAGTTACTAATATTTTTGAAAAAAAAAACATGGATTTACCACTTTTAAGGATGTTCAGGATCTTTCAGAGGACAGTCCCATGGCCATCCAGTTCTATGTTTATGTTCATAATGTTTTCGAAAAATACATGGAGCTCATGCATCAGATTCGTGGATTGTCTACTTTTACGGATGTTACGGATCTTCCGGAGCACCGGTCTCATGGCCAACCGCATCCATGTTTATGTCACGACCCCAAATTCTCTGTATCATCTCAGTTCCAAGTGTTTTCGAAAAAACCGCTGTGATATAGGAACAGTTTCATGGATTTACTACTTTTACGGATATTCCGGATCTTCCGGAGAACGATTCCATTGCCATCCGGGTTCATGTTTATGTCACGTCCCCATTTTTTTTTCAAATATCACAATTCATAATGTTTAAAAAAAAACCACGGAGCTCTAGGATCAGTTTCGTGGATTGACCACTTTTATGGTAATTGTGGATCTTCCGCAAGACCATTCCTTTGTCTCCAGGATCCATATATTGGAACCATGACTGTATTTTGGCTAATTATGAACATTTGTGCCCATTAGTTTAAATTATTGATCTTATGCCAATTGCAAAAACCATAAACACACTTTTAAAAAAATGTAGACGATCCTATTTCCAATCTGTTTCCCATAAACATAATCTATAGACCCTATGAATTCTAGACGTACTACAATTTTTGAAATTCATCTAGAAATGGCTGTCATTGCAAACTTGCCGTTACATGTTTTCGGAAGCTTCGTTGTCGGGGTAGAGTTTTTTACCCACCGTATTCGGAGTGTTAATACCCCGTACATACACTACCGATCATAAGTTTAAGGACACCCCCAAAAAACCATGCACATATGTTTTGTTCAATGATCTCTCATTTTACGTTCAATTTTCGATCTCCAACGGTTATTTGAATGGCATGAATGGTATAGCATAAGTGTTCTAGTACTACTTTTATTTCAAAATTTGGCCAACTCAATTCTGAGAAAATCAGTCACGATTCTTCAGAGTAAATTTTAAAAATATTGTAACTTTGGGAGAGCTTTTAGCACACAAAACTTGCAAATTATATTGAACAATTTGCCTACGAGGAAAGTTCAATTCAATACCTTTCAAATGATCTAAAGAGAACGAAAATTGGACGTAACATGACAGAGATATGAACATAACACATTTGTCATGTTTTTTTGGGGGTGTCCTTAAACTTATGATCGGGAGTGTACTATGGCTTATATCATGTAATATAGGCTGTCTTGCAATGAGCACTCATACATGGATTTTCAGTGAAAACTAGATGTATGAGTGCTCATTGCAAGACAGCCTATATTACATGATATAAGCCATAGTCTGTACGGGGTATAATAGTAAGTTCAGACTACAGAGTTATAACATGTTATAGCGCTATTTTGATGGTGGTTTCTGTGTTGCAATTATTTGACAACCGTTATAACATGTTATAACTCTCCAGTCTGTACAGCGTTTAAGGGTTGTTCTTGCTCCTCGGTAGTTTGTCAAACGATGCGATGAGATTTCTTCGACGAGTATCGATTTTGAGTATTTGGTCAGACAGATCGGGTTTTTCTACCACATCAACCAGATAAGCATTCGATCGTCGTAAGTGTAAGGTTGCAACAGGTTCCTTTCACGTTCACAGTTGGTAAGGGTCGAACGAAGGTTATTAAACTTAGATGATTTAAATGTCTCCGAGTTCCAGTTATTGTTGTTTTGTTGACAGCAGCTTTTCCGCTTCGCATGAAGGTGCACCTTCAAATGTTGCTGTGATGTAAAAAGTGAGAAAGCAAATGACAGCGATCTTGGGCACTGAGCAATGTGAGTTACTCGAGGTGCCTCAAAAGCAACTCTGAAATTGCTCATGATTAGGAGCTGTCTTGCCCCTTGAGTAAAAGTGAAAAAGTGTACCACTTCCTATAAGCCTTTTTACTAGAAACTAAACGATCGATTCAACCT